AAACTTTATTGACACAAATATCAAGTGACAAATACCGCTAAAGCGTCAGTTACGGTGTGATTGAAAAGTAAACTCCAACTTAAGTATTTTTTGTTTTTTTCAAGACAAACTTTTTTTTTTTTGAGAAGACTAAAACGAGTAAGTGGTAAAAACAAACAAACAAGAGAATGGCCTAAATAAATAAATACATAAATAAATAAAAAATGAATAAAACCATAAACATGATTTGCATTTCTGTATTTTTGTGTTCATTGATAATATATCCTCCAAGAGGAATAAAGACACCAGAAAACATTCTATTTCAACAGCTGAAATCAGAAATCTTTGGCTTTTTTTCTTAAAAAAAAAAACTTTACATACTGTTCATATTTTATGCCTTCACCATACTGTGAGGAATTCCCTCATCGTAAGTGTCTATACCAAGTTTTAAACTACAGATCTATTTAGAATGTCTAAATAGTCAATGCCACATTAATAAATGTAAATAAAACATACACATAAAACATGGTCTGTACAGTTTCACAGTTTAAAGATTCCCTAAAATCATCATTTTCCTTGATTTGACCCACACTGTAGATCTAAAATCCATCTCAGCGGTAGGAAAGTACAAGATGTTTAAAATATTTTCATTTTTATTTTCCTTCATTTCTGTGTATTTTGGGTCACTTTAGGAAAAGTAATCAAATTTTAGGATAAAAGTATGACGTTTAGGGTGTTTTTACTGCTGTCAAATGTCAGACAAATTTGACATGAAACCGTATGTAAGGGTTAAATCACATAATTAATGAAAATAGATGATGATTGCTTCATTGGTTGACAACTAACTATCATTGCAGCTCTAATATCTGCCCTGCGTGCATTAGCTGCTGGTTTCTTTGGCTGTTTATTACAGACCGACTGGGAAACTTGTCTCATCTCATCCTCGAACATTTCAGTCCAAATTCTAATTCTGATATGAAATGACTTCTAACAGCAGGAAACGTTCTACAAGCTTTTTGTTTCACCGTCAGACCAAAGTCACTCAAGGGACTGTTTTAAAATGTGGTCAAAACGGGTGTTTTCTCATTTTAATTGAAAGTTCCTGAGTTTTGAATTTCTTTTAAAAGATGTCGAGGTTTACTGAGTCACAATCGATGACTTTCAGTATGAGTACTTATCTATACATGTTCTCTTCCCATTTGACTGAAACAATCTTATCTTTGTTTTGTTATCAGGACTTCTGAGAATAAGGAGTGTTAAGCTTGTTTGTTAAAGGCTCGTCACATTCATTAGACTGACTTACTGTAAGTCAAGTGGAACAATTTACATTTTATGGCTTCTGTAGAAGCCAAACTGAGCTTTGTGTCCATGTGTTCTTTTTTGCTGTTGGATGTGAGTGGGAAAGGGAGTAAGTGCATGTGCATGTGGGGGAGTGAGCGGTCATGGGTGTGTTGAACTCCACCGAGAGGAGGCCGGAGAGCTGCCTCCACCTGACTGAGGAAGTTGAAGGTGGAGCCCACGGTAGAAGGCTTAAGAACCAGCTGCTACAGCATCAGGTGTGGCTCAGGAAGGCAAACAGTTTTCTGACCATGTAGCTGCATCAAGGAACTTCTTAAAGACTCTTAAATTATCGTGTTTTAAATTTATTTTGACGTGTAATTCAGTGAACAATAAATGATCAGTGGGACCGACTGAACCCACTTCTGCTCGTCATCGTTCATCTGCTTGTGTCCAGACTAAATCCAGCCATCAGTAGTGGTCCAGCAGCAGACTAAAGGGGGTTTCCATTTTAGACCATTTGTAAAGATCACACAAGCAAAACAACACAATAACTCTCCACGGCTGAGAGTTGCTGTCTGTCGTCTCGTCTGGTGACCGGTCAGCTGGACCGCTGGTTCGCTGTGAGCCGTGCTTGTGAAAACTGGTGCGATGGACAAACAATGCCTTCACCGCTTCACTCAGGTGGTCGACAGTTGCACAAAGGATGTGAGAAGTTTGACTAATCAGCTTGACCTTTCGATGGTGACAGAGCTAAAGTGTAGCCACAAGAAGGGCCGCGGTGATAAAACCTGAGTCAGTCGTCTCCCTCGGATCCTTCTGGGTAAGTGTTGGTGAACGAGTGTCGCAGTGATTCTTCGGTGCACTTTAAACGGATTGGAACAGAGATCACCGGACACTGTTATCTTAAGATCCCATTTATTTGTAGTGCAAAAGTAGAACAGAGAGACAACTACAAATGTTTAACTCGCCTCGGATCCCCGCGTCAAGCACCGCGTGCTACAATCTACCGAGACCATTATGACACAAACATTAAACCCCTTCACGCCATGCAAATGTGGAGCAGAGATCATCACTTCACACCATAAATATCGACAGTAGAAACACGTGTGAACACAAAGACTCTGGTCTGCGTAGATCGTAGCACCAACACTTAACAGCAAAGTCACAAAGCAGCAGCTCTGACATGGGACGCGCTAAAACAAACTAAAGAAAAATGAACCAGTAGTGAATAAAAGGCAGTCACAAGTGTTTGATAAACATCTATCACAGGCTCTTTTTTATCTGCCGCCGACTTCCAGTCAGCAGACGACAAAAGAAATTCCAGCGTTTTGATGAAAACATTTCCTTCCAGTTCAGTTAAACTGTAAATGAGGCCTAGCAGCAGTAAACAGCCATCAGCTGAGTCATCGTTTTTAGTGTCATTATCGTTAGGGGCTCATTTTCTGCTTCCAACCAGAAGGCCTCCTCAGTCTAAAGTGGTGAGTGCAGTTAGGTCCAACCCACAACCAGACACCCTGTTTCAAATCTTTGGGAAGAAGGATGGGAATAAAAAAAAAAGTCTTAATTAATAATTACATTTATAGGCGATAAATGGGGGGAAAAAAAATATGCAGAAGTCATATATCACCAGAATTATGAACATGAACCTGCAGTGTGACGTAATTTTTAAGGAAAATCCATTTATGCTTGAAAAAAAAAAAAAAAAGGGAGGACACTGCTGACACTGCAAGTATCTCAATCTTCAGTCTCATCCATAAAATGAGTATTTTAAGTGTTCTGTGAGGCACCAGATGAACCCATCCTTCTCCAGAGAAAGTGCTTTGGTGTATTATGTGAAAAAAAAATTCTTAGATGATTAAAATTTAGAGAGAAAAAAAAAAGACAAAAGAAATCAAAGTCGCCTTCATGATCTTGCAAACAAACAAACAAAAACTCAGATAAAAGTAAAAGCTACAAGAAAATTAACTAATTCAAGATGTGACGATGAGTCCTCTAATGAATCAGGAGGTAAAGGGACAGTCTGTGTAGCTTAATGTCTTCTTCAGCACTTCTAGTAGTAATTATAATCCCCCTAATAACTCCTCCCTCGTCTACCACAATGTACCGACTAACATAAAACATATTTAAAAAAAACATTAAAAGAAACAGGAGTGAGTCCAGGAGGCTACAGAGGAAACCAACATCACCTTAAAAGGTGAGACAGCCTCTTTTTTTGCAGGTCTACAGCTCTTCCTACTCCGGTCAGCGGTACCTCTCCGCTCTGGGGCTCGTATCGTGAAGCACCAGCAGGGGGCAGCAGCAGCACGAAAAACAACTGTGATCCAGTGAAGGCATGAAGGCAGAGGTACAGGGAGTTCAGGCGGAGCAGATCCACCTCGCGTTTGCTTCGTTTGCTCTTCTGCCCCGGGGCGTCTCATCTTGGGTGGTGTCGTGTCAGTCCTCTCCTGGCGTTGGTGGACTGCCGCTGCTGGGCGAGGAAGGACATGGCCTGGTTGGACGGGCCCAGCCGCTCGCCGGACACTTTCTGATGCAGCGCCATTCCCTGGGAGGGAAAAGTAGGAGAGGACAGAAGAAGGAGGGTGAGCCAGGTGGGGATATGCAGAATGCAAGCTGTTGCCCAGCATTTGTTCGGCACACTCACCATGTTGTACCAGGCAGTAATGATGAGCTTCTCCTCCTGGTCGTGTCTGGCTCGGCTCTTCTCATAGTCATGCTGTGGAACACAACACATCAACATGCATTAGAACCATCTATAGGAACCACGTTTGTCTCTTCATGTGAAAGGTTCGAACCTCCAGATGCTGGATTTTTCTCTCCTTCTCCGTCAGCTGGTTCTTCAGCGCCTGGATGTCAGGAGTCGACGTCACCGGCGGCTGCTTGGGATCCAGAGTTTTGATCACCTGCACACAGTTTCACAAACAAACGTTTTATTGAGGCAGAAGGACAGATATCTATTCCCCCTTGTTCATTCTTCTTCTTGTTGTTGTCTTCTATCGCACAATGAAACTTGACTCAGCTGTATTACGCTCGTGGCCTCAAGCAGAGATGAGAAGCTACAGAATACAGTTATAAAAACAAAAGAAAATAATTTTTAAAAAGAGCAAAAAAGAAAAATAATATCTCAAAATCAAATCATAATATTAACAAGTTCGAAAAAGGAGTGGGAAGAAGTCTACACTTTGAATTTTGACAGCCCTCATACACATCTATTTGATCAATTTAAGCTTTATTTTTCTATTTTTTATAATTATCTGGCGACTCCTTGAAATTATCTTAGGACCCCCATGAGGGTCCCGACCCCCAGTTTGAGAACCACTGGTTTAGACAATGGCAAATAAATCAAATTAGAACTTAGTCCAGTCTGGACATTTCTCAAATCCCCAGACTTGGAGTATATGTGAGTACTTCACATAATGAAAGAAGAACAACAACAAAACAAACAAACCACACATGAGGCTCTTTCTTCTCCTCTCTGTGCTCCATTTTAATACAGCCCCAATAAAGCTGCTCTGAATGACATATTTGTCTGTATTTTTATTTATTTTTTCCGTCAGACAACAGAATGAGTCCGATGTGTGTCTGAAACGCGGCTCATTAAGACGACATGTTCAACAGCCGTCACGTCCAAGCTGCCGGTCTGGAGATAAAATCCTGATTATAAAAATGACAAACTCACCTGTTCAGTGAATTCAGCTCCACTTGAGAGGATCTGAAGCCACTACCAAAGTCAGAGGAGGATTACAAAATGCTTAAAATAGCCTTGATCCTTTTGACTTTGGATTTCTGACTTGTATAGTAAATCTTTTATATTTATTTCTTTTATCATGTTGGAGTTTCAGTGTAAATCTGCAGGTTAACATATAAACCTCTGTTTACATTCTTATTGTGCTGCATCACACAATGACGGACAGTTTGCCACAATGAAGGGAACTTAAACTAAATGGTCTTTCTACTTCTTGGAGGAAAATCAGCTGTTTACATGATTTGATTTTCATTTTGCTATCTCCTCTCTGTTGTGCATCCAGGAAAGTTTTGCATAGCAGCTCGACAGCTCCCCAAAAGTGAGGTCAAAACATGTTGATCCCTCCCTGGCCGTTAGTTTAACCCTCCTATTATCTTTAGAGTCAATTTGATCCCATTCAGTGTTTAACATCTCTAAATAAGTCATTGACATAATTTTTTTTTTTTATTTGAAGGATTATTTACACATAAACTTGGGTAACAATTTTAATTATGATATTTTCTGTTGGTTTAAATTGCTGGAGTCAAGGTGAACCCAAGGACAAAAGATGTCAGTAGATGTGAAGGTAACAGGAGGGTTAAGAAGCACCTGATTTGGTGTGTAGTGCAGTTTTATACGAGCCGAACACCCGCGTTAAACAGCCGATTCCGTTCGTTTAATTGAGCGAGGAGGACTACTACGCCGAGTCCTCCTCAAGATGTGTGAACAGACTTGATGTGTAAAAATGGCGGCGCGCTCTTTCAACCAGTGATGTTGGAGCCACATGCTGAGGAGGGAGCGTTCTATTTGGGTGGACTGACCGTTCTCGCCTTCTCCACGTAGCGCTTGTATCGCTCCTCCATCTGCTTCATGTCCTCATCCTTCTTCCGCAGAATCTCCTGGAGTTCATCTATCTTCTTGGCCACTGAGAGGGGAAAAAAAAAAAAAAGAAGTGAATTTATGTTTAAAAGAGAAGCAAGTAGAAGCTTTAGAGAGCCTGAAATCATGTTTATATGAATTCTCCTACTGTTGCTGTCCACTTTGGGCTCCAGGTCATCGATGACCTCTCTTTTCTTTTGGAGGTCTGAGTGGGCTTCGTGGAGCTTCTCTCTGGAATAGTCACACATCAAGAGTGTGTGAATTCACTTTTGTTTTCAACCCACACGAATAAATAATCAGTAAGCAGCAGTGGACTACTTACAAATGTTCCTCAAGCTTTTTCTTCAACAAGGAGGACTTTAAAGAAAGAAAAAAAGAGGGAAAAATACATTAAACTAAACATTCAAAGTACTGTCTAAAGAGCACAGACGCAAACACCACAAAGTAAAAGCAGTGAAGCTGTCAAAGAGTCAAATCATGGGCCGGTTGGACAGCGGGCGGGCCGTACTTACGATGGCCTGATTTTGGCAGAGGTGTTCGATGGGGGCAGGCGGAGAGAGACAGACAGAGAGGGGCAGGCGTTAACGGTGAATCACAGCAAACATGGGTTAAAGTCCCACACAACATGTACCACAGGTAGGAGAGCAAACACTGCAAACCGTGAGTGATCGTTTAAATATATTCAGTGTGCTGCTGGTGTAGTGTACTTTAAACAGAAAAAACACTACCACTTACTTCACAGTATATGTAACACAAATTAACGATGATTACTAATTTGTGAGTAAAACGTCCTTAACCATATGCCTTCACCTCCTCCACGTGGGAGTGACAAAATAATCTATGTTTCTTGCTCGCTGCGTGTACAGTCTGAGTATTCTTTGTGCTGAGGGGAGTTGGAAAATGATTGTACAGATCAGAAGGCTTCGGCTCGCTCCACTCACATCCTCGTTCTTGCTGTCCTGCTCCTGGAGTGCTTTCTGGAGCTCCTCGACCTGAGAACGCAGCTCTGAGATCTGCTGCTCGTTCAACCTTCGGAAACAGGAAGAGACAGGAAAGGGTGGGAACGGAACGAGCGACAAAACGGGCACAAAAGAGAGAAAATTAATAAAAGGTTTACTAGTGAACAAAAGAGAGGAAGAAGGATGAAACAGTTATGAGGCTGCTGTGGGGGGAAGATGTTTGTGAAGCGATCAGGTGGATCCTTGTACATCAGCTACAGGCAGCTCTCATCCATTCGACCGAGTGTGCCGCCTGGCCATTCACCGCTCTGCTCTACTGAGCATGCTCACTCCACTCCTCTCCTCCTGTTACTGTTGCTGGGGATGCTTCCCACACCCTGGGCCTGGTGTTGCAATGGACACACACACAAACACACACACACACACACAGTCCACCCACATGTCCACATGCCCACAGGCATGTAAACACACACATACACACTCAGTCAAGGGACAATCTGGCTTTCTGCTGTCTGTCCTCCAGTCCAGCCCACACAGCTCAGTCGAACACACAGTCCAGAGGGTGAGTTGACATTTAGGCAGATATCACTCGTTGTATCAGCCAAACAAGCAGCTTAATGTCCAGGAACACACAATATGGTGGCCTAGAAGGGGAATGATTATTTAACACTGCTGAAAGAAGTTGGACTGTATACCGAGTAAACACATACTCCTACCTGTTCTGAGTTTCTAGGGTATTCTTGCTGCGCTGAGCCTCCTCCAACTCAGCCTGAACCTCCACCACTTTCTGTCTGCAGGTCTCCTCCTGGACACACAGCATCTTGTTTTCACTTTGCAGACGCACCACTGTCTCCCTGTCGAAGACGAAAAGGGAAACAGGAGGTGAAGGCGAGCGGAGGTCAGACACCGGTCTGCTGAGATGACCGACTCCTCTATGCGACAACGCCCAGGCCAACTGTGCCATGTGTCACTATTTTGCGGGCCAATTGCGCATTCAACTTCTAAAAATAAACTTTTTGTGGCTGTGTCAGCAGCACGAATACAGAACACAGGGCTATTGATAGCTAGACTGATGCACATTTGTTGGAGCATTAGAAGAAAACTTCATGTTATGTAGCTGCTATGCTGACATTAACGTGCACACGCTGCCGATATAGAATAACAGCAGACATACTTGAGCTCAGGCATTATCTCTGAGGCAAGGCTTCCCACTGCGACATCATTGTCACACAAGCTTCCTGCAAAGACAGACAGAGAAATTCAGTGTCAGCTTTACAGATTTTATAAAACAGCCTGATCATGTTATTTTTGTTTCAGTCGGAAAAAGAAATGTTGATGCTTTGGGATGAATGATTTTTTTAAATTACATTATAGCTTCTATTATTAAAAACAGAATAAATGATTGTTGTTTTCTTTCGTTTGAATCATTTGCATTTTGCATCAGTGGATTTAAAACCTGTCTGACAGGAGAAAAAATGCACATGTGGAACATTACTTCTGGTTATTTACCAACTTGCACACTTTGCGTCTAGACTCGGTGTAATTACAGCCGGCTCACCTGCTCCGCTGAGGCACCTCTGCTGGACTTGTGCGCACCTGAGCTCATCGTTTGTCTCCCGTAGCGTGTCTCTTTCTGAGATCAGACGCTAAAAAAAGAAAGCACACTGTAACACTGGTACATGATCTTAAAACCTACGTGTTTTTCTTTTTTATATCCCGACTCTCACACTTCATTAAGTGATGTTCAGTGATCAGCCACAACATTAAAACTCCTGTCTATGATTATGGAGGCCCCATATGTGCTGCCAAAACAGTTCTGGCCTCTGAAGGTGTCCTGTGGCGTTGGGTGGTGAATCCATGGATCAGGCCTGTTCTGACACATCCCCCGTGCGCTTGATCGACCTGGCAAGTTTGGAGGCCAGGTCAACACTGCGGCTGGTTGCATTGTCCTGCTGGGGGAGGCTGCTGCCATCTGGGAGTGCTTAGTCTGTAGCATCGCTCAGGTACGTGGTACATGTCAAAGCATCCGAGGTTTCCCAGCAGAACACCGCACTGAACTGAGACGCTCGATGTTATTCACGTCACCTGTCAGCGGTCTGAATGTTGTGGCTGATCGGTATAAATACACTCTCACATGTCAGTACATTATGTATTCCTTAATTACTTCGACAAGTAACCGAGGACATTAATCACTCCTGTCAGATTGCAGAAGGTGCTAGAATTGGCACAGGACGTGGGAGTCCGCTGAAGAATAGTAAAAAAAAAAAAAAAATTTGCCTGGCAACAATTCCACTTGCAGGGAAAGTGTGTCGTGTAATGGTCACCGCGAATATTGATCGACATAACATTTGTCATCACTGAGTCAAAAACTACATTACAACACGTTGAGCATCATGACAGGGCTTCAGTGAGACCATAATATTGGAAAGAAAGCTCAAGCAGCCCTGTAAAAGTAAGTGATGCACACATTCTCTTCCTGTGAATCTTTAATGTCCTGTCGACGTTCATCAACTCACTTCTTTCTCCTTCAGAAGGGCGTCGAACTTGTCGTTGAGGTTCTTGTACTCAAACTGCCACTTCTCAGCTTTCATGGCCTCTGCCGAGTGCTTGGTGTGAAGCTCATGAGCCTGCAAATCAGAGAGCACGCAGTCGGCGAGAGCGATGCAGAAAAAACTGCCTCCAAACACGTGCACAAGCCAGACTGTGTTTAACATCACTTGGATGTCAACACAGGAACAAGTATCACTCTCCCTCCTCCTTGCAGCCCACAGCTTGCCTGTCTCTTGTAGGTGTCCAGCTGACTGCGGGCAGCGTTGGCCCGGCGGAGTTCCTCCTCCAGCTCGCAGGTGCGCTGCATGTACACGGTGTTGCGCTCCTCCAGGAGGCGCACCTGTCTACGCAGGTCACCCAGATCCTCCAGCTTTCTCTTGTACGTCTCCACCAGCGCTTCGAGCTGGTTCACCCGGTCAGACGAGTGCCTGAGAGGGTGGAAAGGAGAGTGTGGGAGGTGTTGAGCGCCGGCACAGGAATACGAGTTTTGGTTTAACACAATGCATCCGTGTGGACATTTACTTAACTACTTAAAAACAACTCTGACGCAAGCAAGTGTCAATGCATGAAATTCATATTATCAACACAGATGTCAGAGAGAGGAGCTGAATGGACGTCTGTGTGTGGGCAGCGTGGGGGTTGTTTCTGTGAGTGTAAATTGACAATAAAAAGGCTGGTGATATTCAACATTTTTTGATATTGTCAATAAAAGCCTTGAAGACAAAGTAACAAGGATTCATTGTTAGTTTTGGGCCATTTTGTTGGTGGTTTTTGTGTTCAGCAGCTCAGCGGTAACTGTGATGTGTTTCACGGTTTCACATATGGAAAATCTTTGTACATAAAGAAATAATAAATTATGAATGAAGTGCATTAAAAAAAAGCTGTAAAGCATGAACACAAACCCTCAGCGTCCATGTGACTCAACGCCCACCAAGCGTGACTTTCTACAGTTTCAGTACAAACTTGTCACAGCGTGTAAACGGGCCCGCACGTTTCATTATATAATAGTCATTGTCCAACTACCAGCGTTTTAGTTTCCGTGATTAATTAAACATGATCAGGTGGGATGTATTAGGAGGAGGGTTATTTTTAAATCTGCTCTCACCTGAGGATGTCCATCTCGTCTTTGAGGGACTGGGCCTCCTGCGCCAGGCTGGTCAGCTCTTCATTTCGTTGCTGCAGGTCGGTCACCTCTCGCTCCAGTATCTCCCCTCGCACACGCATGTCATCCCTGCTGTTCTCTAGCCTGAGATAAATAGAGGTTTATGTAACTGGGTGGACTCATCGTAAGATACTGAAGAGAGCAAGACGACTACAGTGGTATTTTTAAAAAAAAGCAGAGCAAATTATGTCAACATCTGTTATGTACAGGCCTGAGAGTGTTTGCTTATTTACTAGTTATGCATTTGATTTAATTACTCAAAAATCCCTGAGCTGTTTCTCTGAGTAGGTCCAACATTATGCATGGGTACTCCTCGTACCTGTAGTTCTCCTCTTGAAGCTGCTCCATCTGACTCTGCAGCAGCAGCAGCTTCTTGCCAGTGATGGCAGTGGTGGAGGCGTCCAGAGAGTCGCTGCGACTCAGCTTCTCCTTCAGGGAGCGGGTCTCTGCCTGGAGGGACGACTTCTCCTCCAGAACCGCTGACAGCTGTTTGAAACACAAAGACCGAGTGGACTGCTGAGGAAGGAGTGACGGAAGATGATCTACAGCCACAGAAAGGCAGGACGATCGAGAGACATGCAAGCAGATGCATAGAAAGAAAAAAGTCTTTAAAGGCGATTGAAGGTAAAACATTTGCAAAAACAGCGACGTAGAAAAATTAAATACTTCCAGAAATTACAGCACAGGCACACGACGGATTCAGGGGAAAAAACACAAAGCACACAGCGACAAACTCACCACTTTTAATGCAAGAGGACCTCAAACACATGCTCTGTTCTGATTTCACATGCTCTGCCGTCAAAAGCTTATTAGTCAGCTGGTTTGCGATGTTCTCAGGCAGATGAAACTCTGTCAGTAGTGCGATTGTTAGCGATACCCTCGGGGTCCTAACCAGACCCTCATGATATAAATAGATAAATATGTGCTGCTCACTGAGGACAATAAGTTATACTAACAGTTTGTCGGAGAGAAAAGTTCTAAATTCAGACTTAGGAAGTTAGTTGGATTGAGAAAGGGGACGACTGTAGTTTCAACAAAACGTTTGACTGAAATGAAGTTAGGAAAAGCTTGCATTCCAGTTTTAAAATAAAAAAAGGTAAGTGGGGAGGGGGGTGCATACTTACCTGCGGGACATCTTTCCAGTTTGAACACAGCAAAACCCAACACTGAACTTTAAGGACAGATTGCATGCTTTAGCACCGGACCAGTAACAGTAAATAGCTTTCAAAACAACACAAATGACTAATCCCTAACGCGTGGGCAGAGTAAGTAAACAAACAGGTGGGCTGAGAGCAGTACAAATTATTGTTGGCTACTGCTCCATCCCAAGGCAATGTGTCAGTTTTATCTTGATGTTATGCAACTATTGACTAGAATGTGTCTTTTAAGAAAACCTAAATTAGTCCCTTTGCAGTCAGCGGTGCAAAAACAAGCCACGGGAACACAAATAAAGTCTCCGGCGGGCTAATCAATACGGGTCAAAGCACAAAACTTGCACACATTCAACAGCATGCTGCAGCCGTAGGACAGAGAAAACAAGCCTCCAAGTGTCTGACGGTCGGGAAGATAGAGATGAAACTGCATTTTATTGCACTAAACCACAAATTGGTTTGCCTTTTCAGATAGATGAAGCAAACTGAAGGCAAAGAATAACATCTAAAAATCAAAATCCTAAAGATTTTCATGGAGTCAACCCTGTTTTTGATATTATAAATGGAGACAGTCGATCAGTGTGTTTACATCAGCGGATGACCTCTCTGTACAGTAGTTTTATTGTGGCGTGTCCTGCTTACTATTTTGAGGAGCCACAGATAACGATTCGCTCTTTACTCTACATTAAATTACTGCTTGTAATTTCAAAAACAAAGGGTTGCTTTGATTGTGAAGCATCCACAAGAGAGAAAAACATCAGAAATGCTTCTACAAACAGAAGTTTTGTTCCTCTTTAGCACACGAAAAGGCTGAGCACCAATTTCTCAGCAGGGTATCAAACTTTACTGCGTCCTGTTTGGAAAAAAAAACTACCTCCACTAGTCTGTAGGGTGTGTTTTGGTATGACAACTTAATTATTAAACCTCTGTTTGGAGGTTGTTGGTCTGCTGTTGACGTATTAAAGGTTTTAACATGTGGGATCTATTTTTATCACTCCACAAATCATAAAGTAGTGTCAACAGCCAGAAACATGTTCTAGAAATCAGGCTGTGAATAACATACGAACACTTTCCTCTGTAACAACCTTTATAACATAGTTTGGAGTCAAACTGAGAAATCTGGAGCATTTAAAAGCTGCAGAAGTGAAGATTTCTGACTCAGAATCGGAAGAAATAGCCTTTAAAAATGTTAAATATTCCCTCAGAAACTACTACTGTGTAAAAACTTTAACAGATATAACCGTGACACTTCCTGAGTTGATTGAATTATTATGTTTTGTGTGACAGGTTTTCTTAAATTTGATGTTTATGATCTAAAAATGAGGTGACATATTAATATGCACTAATTTACGTTCACTTTTAATGACAAATTGTAGTGAAACAAACACATAATAAGAGTATTTTGGATGTCTTCTTTTATCCCAGTAGTCCAACAGAAGACATATAGTGAAGGAAAAATCTCAAAATTGACCAGTGCATGAATAAAACCAAGCATGTTTTTGCCTGTAGTGTCTCGCCTTAATTGGCTGTAAACCCTATTCAGCCAACCAACCTGATGTTCAAGGTCTCGACAGCGCTGGCTCAGGTCCTCCTTCTCGTCCGCCTCTTCGCTAAGAAAATAATACTTCCTGGACTGCAAATACAGAATGTGTAAACACAGGATATGTCACACTAATGACAGTAGTGAGGAGTAAACACTAACGAAACCACTGACTGAACAGAGCGAGCACACAGAGCAGAAGGAATGTGTTGCAGGTTTCACCTGGTAGTCAAAGTCCCCGTAGGTTTCTGGGCTTCCTGGTTCTGATGAAGGCTCTTTTGATAAAAGCTTAAACAAAGCAAGAAAGACAGTCAATGAACGCGGCAAGCTCAAATGACACAGAAAAACGAAAAGGCGTCTGTTGCCAAAGCTGGTTTATTTGTTACTGGATAACTTTGTTTGGTGAAGATTTGCTGTGTTTAGACGTTCCTATTAAAGAATAAACATATTCTTGAAATAGCACAGAGTAGGTTTCTGGGATCTCATTCAGTCCTCTGTTTATCCAGACTTCTTTGATTGTGAATTAACTGTGACTAAGAGCTGGATTAATGCAAAGCAGAGAGAACCAAGAGGATAAGCAAAGAGGCTCACTCACCTCCTGAATGGCTGTCATCACAACATGCTGGACAGATTCCTCAAGTGTCATTATCTGCTGGATTTGCTCTGTGTTTAGGAAAAGACAACAAAGCCCAGTGAAGGTGCAGCCAAACACAGATTAACACAAATACCACTGAGCGGCACCATGTTTATTTTCAGAGAACCAGTCCCCATCGAGCTAATATGTGAATAACAATAACCTGATGAGTTTTTGGTCCTTTGCAGTATTTTCTGTAAAATGGCCTTTAGCATGAGGAAACGACAGCATGTGGTCAATTTATCAGCTTGTGATGCTTCACGGCTGAAACAAGAATCATGTGATTCCACTCTCAGTTAATCCCGTGTGTTATTTTTACAGCTGGCTGCCTCTGCCTTTCCTTTTTCTTCCTGTGACAGCAGACAGCTTACCTTGTTTCTTCTCACAGCTGACGGCACAGCCCAGTACGAGCTGCACCAGCTTGCCCAGTTCAGTGACATCTCCCATCTCTCCGATGAGGTTCACATCTGGCAAATGCTCATCAGACACTGGGTGACCGAGCACCTTTTAATGTGAGAGCAAAGTGAGGAATTAGGCTCGAGTCCTGAACAGAACAACGTACCAGAGGTGGCGAATAAATAAGAAAATCCTCTTACATCGTGGTAATATTCCAGCATGCTTTTAAGAATCTTTTTCAAGTTGCTGACCTGAAAGAACGAAACAAACCGAGAGTTACTATCTTGATCCTCGTTTTAATCAAGGTTAATCAAGCCGAGGCATTTTGGTCATTCTGGCTAGCTATAGGGTATTCTGTCATATCCTGCTGTTTCACAAATTACCTTGAGGCGCCAGTTGGCCCCGCTCTCCTCCTTGATCCTGCCTAGCCATGTCTCATTAAACCAAGAGGGGTCTCTGTTAATGAGAGCACAAGAGAACACTAGAGACAACAGAGACGACATATCTGCGGACATCGAGCTTTACCGGAGGCCACAGGGCAACGAGGCGCTGTGCCTCCGCTCCTTGAAGCACAGTGACATTTGAGTAAAACTGTTCATTAAAGTTACATGACGGGGGGATAATGATGAAGTAGCAGTTAAAGTGACCTTAAAATTCAAGAAAGAACAAACTGTTTGTTTCAAAAACTTCTCAAGGTACCCAATCACAAGCTAACACAGATCATTAGACCGGAACCTGATTGCTGTACTCAAAAACCACAAAGCAAACACACTCTCACAGACTCCAGGCTCTGTCCTCAACTTTTGCATAGATAAAAGGACTTGTGCAATCCTGAAGTCAGTTTAGTGCAAATTAGAAAGATAAGCAAATCTCAGCGAGCAGGTTCCTCTACAAGCTCATGTAGAACATCAAAACAATGAAATGGCTGTAACTACTTCTGCTTACATTCTGTGCAGAACGTGTGCGATGGCCACGCCGCTTGTCAGGTCGTACTTGCTGCTGCATGATGGCACCTGGAACGTCTGGAGCTGAGATGGAGGACATTAAGGATTAGAAACCTTCAACAAGCTGTACGCATTTGATGTACATCCTCATTTACTGAACCAAGACAGATATTATTGATTATTGCCACGTGTGTTTAATTAATATTCCATACGTATGAATTAACAGAATGAATATTTTCTTGCACAATGGTTGCATCATTATAGGAAGTGCAATGAGAAGTAACACAACTCAGATACATTATGCTATGACATTAGCTTAATATAAAAAAAAAAAAACATCGCATAGTTATAATTCTTAGTGGATAATCTGCAAAAACAGTTGCTCTGATTTAAGAAATCTCAGCTAGGCCGAGTTATTTATGAACTTTATTAACAAGACACAGACTGAAAAGGTAGATCTGGTAGCAAAAACAAATGCAATATCAGATGTATGGAAATACTGCAGCGACAGAAAGGACGGCATCGACCAAAAGCAGCTACACCGTCTGCAGCATGTTGCATCTTTTGGCACTACATGAGGCAACAGGGGCTGCAAGGTCGATCGGTGGTTAGCAACGTCACCTCGCAGCAAGAAGGTCGCTGGTTCGTGATCCGGTGAGGACACCTGGGATCTTTCTGTGTGGAGTTTGCATGTTCTCCCCGTGCAGCACACGGTCCAGAGACATGCTGAGGTTAATTGGTGATTCTAAATTGTCCGTAGGTGTGAATGTGAGTGTGCTTGGTTGTCTGTCTCTAAGTGTAGCCCTGTGATGAACTGGTGACCTGTCGAGGGGGTCCCCTGCCTTCGCCCTAAGTCGGCTAGGATAGACTCCAGCCCCCCATGACCCTAGTGAGGATTAAGCGGTGTTTCGATAATGGAGATACTGGATGGATGCTGGTGCAAAAATACATTTCCCTGCACATTGTACCATGTGTAAATGTGTATGTGACAAATAAAGCTTATCTTGAATCTTGAAATCAGCACCACAAAGCTCTGTGTGATGAGTGCTAAGCCAGATCTGAATGCCACTGAAGGCAAAAACGTATTTATTATTATCAATTCACCCCAATCATTCAGAAAACCAAAAATACTGCAATGTCATATTTTCTCCAGTGTCATGCACCTGCAGGACAATAACATTCATATAGTCTTTAAAATACAGGGTAATATTCATGTAAAGCAGTTTATTAGTGGGGCTTTTATCTAAATCTAGCCAGCTTTTCGAAACATACCTTGAATAACAGACACTCAACAGCTATGGGGGCATAAAGCCCTACTTAGCATTGCTATTAATAATAGCTGTTGTCTTAGAATAGCCCAACACTTCTGTGTGGAAAGGTGCCAAAAAGAAAAGGTGGATTTGCCCTGAGCTTGAAAAGTTGGACAGCCTAACACGACTGTTTAAGTCTCTGGTCTTACGCTGAGCTATTTGTGTTTGTTTGTCTGGCAGTTAACTTTGCTGACAGCGCAGTAAAAGCAGGTAGAGCAAACTTCCAAAGTGTTTATCAAGCTAGTTAGCTAGGCTAGCTAGCGAGAGTTAGCTTACAACCAAACACAACTTTCACACCCGTCAGCTGCTCACATGTTAACTTACTCACACAACAAAGCAGCTACTGAGCGACTACGTGGGCCGGTAGCTTCCACATTGAACGTTGTGTGTCCTCTTAATTTTTTGTTGCTAACACCTGCTGTCACCTGTTAGCCGGCGGTTAGCCCGGCTCGGACAGCTCTGGCTAACACCAAACTTACCCAGGTTAACAGCGAATCACACAGATCCGCTTTGTCCAGACTCATGGTGCTGCGCTCAGAGGGGGGTAAAAACCCACAAGAAGCTCACACGGAAGCGCTGGGTTCTGCTCTCAACTTGTGCCCCGAAGTTTCTCACTCGGTGCCGACACTTTCCACGTCAGTCATTATGCAGCAGCAGCAGTGACGGCCTCCTGCGGCTCCAAACACGGCCGCTTCGCGTTTCAGCTCCGCGATGTCCGACGTGAGCTTCCGTAGTGAGCGCGTTACCATGGGAACGGATTATGTGTCGGGTCAGCGTGTCTGGTCGTAGTAAATAAAAATAATTACGGCAGTGACAGCCCAGTTTTTCTTTTTAAGCTCTCATAATGAGGTTAAATGCTGGTGAGCTCTAATTTATTCTAATTTATTCATGTTCAGGTGAAATTAAAAAATTATAAACACACACATAAAAACCAGAAATCAGAAAAATAGAGGCGCGTGATTTTTTAAAATTATTATTTAATTAATTTATTATTAAATACCAACCTAGATGGCACCTTTAAAAAAACCACATGAGCCATCCAAACCCATAATAACAACAGAAGTGACTACACTCCTGTGCAATATCACTTAAATGCCAGATGAATCAAAATTATATCACCTTACAGTGATTATTTCTAAATTAAACAGTAGGGTCTTTGCTTTTATGTAGATTTTAAATTGTAATTTTTCAATATCTCAAATGCTAGTTTATTTCTAATGACAGACCAAATCTTCCTCAACACAGAGGATATCAGATTTCTGGAGAAATGTTTTTGCTTTTTTTCCAGCTGTCTTGTCTGGAGAGGTCGTATTTGTCTGCCTTTCTTTTTTAAAACACCCCAAAGATGTTTAGATGACACACTTGCTCAGGTCATGTTTTT